GCAAGGCACTATAATGTACATTTAAATTAATATATTTTCTTACTCTCGTCCATTATTCCATGCTGTCCGAATACAAACAAACATGATGTCCCTCACACCTCAAGAAAAAGAGACCGGCACAATACAACCAACAGCCATTCACACGAGAATACCACACACAAAAAAATTACAGACGCAGCATGTAAACTCCTCTTGGATCAAAAAAGAATATTCTAAGGCACATGACAACATTTAGAGCGATCACACAGGATTTTCTGCTGCTTCATTGTTTGCTACAAAGTTTATACAATTTCCAATTATTCACCAGACTTATCAAACATAAACACACATTGCAACAAAAACCCATCGCAGATCGTACCGAATGGGAAGATGAGTGTATCGATTTCATGTACCAAACATACTTGTTTTAGATGTTACATGAACAAACGCACTGCTCACAGACAGCAAATCGTCGTACATGAACGTGGTGAGGAGACACACACAGACTCACAGACATCACCTCCACAGACTTCAGAAATACATCAAAAGCGGGCGCCACAGCAGGTGAATCTGTAGATCCTAAAGTGACCTTTGACCTGACCATTTACACTGTTCTCAGTGCACAACCACCTCCCTTAACCAAAACAGGTCTAAATGCTGAGGTGAGCACAGAACCGGTGGCCATTAAGGAAATGGACAGTGATAATTCTGTCACCGTGACGACTTTAGTCAGGTTTCTAAAAGAGTCCTTTGGCTTTTTTTAGGTTCACTTGCTTCCATCCAGGCATAGCGTCAAACTCTTCTCTCTTCATGTCTAACACTCGCTGAGAACACAGAAAATATTGTAACGAGTGAAAAGAGAGAAACACACAGGCACATAAATACACATACACTAAGGTTCAAAATGTTGGGGTTGGTAAGATTTAAAAAAAAAAAAAAGTTTGTTGTGCTCACCAAGGGTGCATTCATTTGATCAAAAACACAAAAAGCAGTAATATTGTACGATATTATTACAATCGAAAATATCTGTTTTCTATGTTAAATACATATATTAAAATGTAATTTATTCCTGTGATACAAAGCTGAATTTTTAGCATCATTACTCCAGTCTTCAGTGATGAATAGAAAAAGGTCAAAAGAACAGCATTTATTTGAAACATATTTTAAAAGACATATTTTGTAAATGTCTTTGCTTTGCCACTTTTGGTCAATTTAATGGATCCTTGCTGAATAAAAGCATTAATTTCTTTTAAAAAAATAAATAAATAAATAAAATAAACCTTACTGAACCCAATCTTTTGAATGGCAGTGTACTGTATATTCACACAAACAATCTTAAATTTGCAGAAAAGGAGAAAATGGTTACAGTTACACTGTGTCTTAGCTAGGCACATTGTGTTTAAACCACAGTCAAATAGCAAAAAAATTGACATATACTGTACAGATAACAGGAGAGAGACTTTGGACCAATCAGAATTGACTGTGGGCGGGGTTACTCAGCATGACCTTGATGCTTGTGCAGAAATCTAGATTGGAAAGGATGTACATTGTGTTAAAAATCTTAGTACAGTTTAATGTGCAGAGACGACTTTAAGCAAGCCAATCATGGATTGAATAATCTATTCAACCAATGGTCTGAATTTGGGGCAGGACCACTGGTTTGCCGACGATTGTTGAATTTACATGCACATTGACTGTGATCGTCTAAATTAAGACCACAAAACGGTTTCAAGAAGACACAGTGTGGACAAAATGCAGTCTTGTTGGACTGGAAAAAAACACAAATGTACAGACTTTATCAGAATTGGCGGTTTAATGTGCATTGGTCCAGGGGTCTCCATCTCCTTAAATGGCCAAATCTCACTGAAAATGAGTGACCTTTGGTAGCTTTGTCACAGCAAATCGCTATCTGTGTGACAGTAATGTGGAAGAGACATGATTTATTATACGTTTATCATGTCACGCCTAGTTAAGACACTGTGCTCTCAGTATATCATTCTCAGAAATTGTATTGCTGGAAAAACATCTTGCAAATCTTGGATAAAATCTGTTCACACTGTGTGTGTGCTCTGTGCATGCATGTGTGCTTGTGTGATTTTTTCAAAAAGTTCTCAAAGATTCAGCTGGACAAGAGAAGTCCAAAGTGTGCAAGAAACAGGAAGAAAAATTAAGCATAAAAGTGAGGCTGTCAGGAAACAGCGCCACAGAAACATACTGTATCTCTCCCAGTGACTTCAGTCCATATCAGAGATACTTACCCACTCAGAATTCCCTACAACCCCGCCTAAAACGGCAAAACATTCCATTCTTAGTATCTAGTCATGTCATACTTTAAGTAACCATTAATAGGATGAGCAACCTGCTTAACCAATTCTATTTGGCAATTTAAATTTAAAAGATAAAAAAGAACTGAAACAATTTAATATACAGTAGTAAAAACTGGCTTAACGAACAGACGTGGGGTGAAGTTAAACTTGCCAGGGTCTGAAAAAAGTGAGAAATATTGAAATAAACAGAAAAAAGTTAGATGAAGCAGAGAAAAAAAGACTTGTGATAAAATCATTTGTTTGAGTCTGACTGATAAGTTTATGAATTCTTGGTTATATTCATTAGTAGTATGGCTTGTGAACATATGTGAGCCCATTTCCACCACTTAAGAAAAACATTATGCTTTAGTAAATCTTAATTTCATAATCAGTCAGAATTGTGAGATAAAATGTTGAAAACATTACAAATTTAAATTAAAAGATAAGTCAAAATTATGCCAAAAATTCTGAGAAATGGTCAAAATTATGACAAGTCATGTTTGTCATACTAAAACAAAAACGTTAATTTTGACTCAAATTTTGATTGCTAATTTTCATTTTTCTACTTTATGTCATAATTATGAAATTTTTTATAATGTCATAATTATGATTTACTTCTTTTTTATTATGTAGCAGATTTTTTTCCCTATGTATGTTAGAGATGCATTATTGTCTGAAAGATCATCAACAAACTTCCAAAATCATGCAGTCCCACTCTCCTCCAGTGTGTTGTACCTTGAAGCATGCAGTCGTAGGCCTTGCGGTCCTTCCTGCCTAACGCTTCCCAGAATTCCACTGGCTCGCCACCTTCCTCACATTCATGAATGGTCACATTGCAGCTGCTGTGAAGTCCCGCCTCCAGTGGCCGTCTAGGAAACACAAATACGAGTCAGATTTCAATCATAAAATTTTTTTTTTTACAATGCAAAATGTTTTTTTTTTTAATCTTTCTGACCCCCAAGCTTTTGAATGCTAGCGTATGCTCTGAACTCAGTTTTATAGTACTAAGTATAAACGTGTAGAAGTAAATTACAAGGAACCTAAGTTATCTATCAAAAAATGCATGCACTCACTGTTCTTTTATCTTCTCTGCGGCGGTTCGAGCGACATGCCGTGTGTGGGTTTGAGTTTTGCAGCCGTGCCACAGGTAGATGAGGGCTTTGTTGATGTTCAGAAGGACTATTGATGTGCGTGATCGCAGACTGCTGCAGTGACAAGCCACTTCCAGCAGATGGCCCTCTACAGACACCTCACTTCGCACACAGTACAGACGCCAGTCATCTGAAACAGATTACAGGGGGACAAACAGTCAAATATTAATACGCTGACATACAGCTTCTTGCACAGTACACTAATTTAATAAATGTACTTGAAGCTATTTGCATGACTAAATGCTTCAAATAACATGTTACTATACTGTTCTCACATGCGCTCATTACACACAAATTATGTATTAAAAATAGCTGTTTTTTTATTCAATGTTTTGTAAGAACATCTTAATGAATGATCATAAAAGAGATAAAAATTGCTTCTGGGACCCATGTGACCTAAGGCAATGAAAGGTTACATGCATTGTGGGATACAGTGTGTTATACTGAGCTCTTGTTAAATTTGCGCATTTTGGCAAATGTTTGTAATCCTATTACCAACATACTATGCACATATTATGAATAGAATGCGTAATGCATACTACGCTTCTTTCAAAAATAGTAGGCAGTATTGCCATTTCTAACCAGTAGATTACTAACAATCTATGAGATTACACACTTTAGAAAATGTATTCTAAATATTTTTTTGATTACTTTTAGATTACTTTTGACTTAACTTATCACAGATTCGAATAGAGGTTATTTTGTCCCATGCTCATAACAGAAAACACATTCTATATAAAAATGAAAAAATAAATAAATAAAAAATAAAAT